GGGCCAGCCACTGCACTCCAGTCTGGGCGACAGAGTGAGACCCCAACTCAAAAAAAAAAAGAATTGCCTTGTGGCCCCTGCATTGGCTGATACCTCTGGACCTTTGGTGTAAAAGACCTGGCCTGCCCTGACCCATAACTACTAAAGTCTCAACATGGACATCAGCCAGAGGGTAGACAGGATTCACGCTCCCAAGATTTACTTCACCCAAACCTGACTGTAAGGCATCTCTCCCAGCAAGTGAGGGAATCTATACAATGTGCCCCCAACCTATGGAACCCAAATAGCAAATTTGTTCTCAGACTTAACCATCAAAGGAAAGGGAGCACAAGAGAAAGATCATTTAGGTTCGTTCTTTTGGCAAACAACAACAAAAAACACCACCTATTTTTCTTCTCTAATTTGAAGAGCCAAAGGAAAGATTCCTGATCTCTTAGTTGATTTCCAGGTACCATGAATATTTTCCCCTCAGCATCTTCAAGTTATTGCTAGTCCTGAAGATAAATAAAGCAGAAGTCAAGCAAAAAGAGAGAAAACGGTTGCCTCGCTAATTTCCTCTAGGTTCTGAAAACATCTCTCACCAGATATTAAAATGAACTTTTTGTGTCCATCTCCTACTCTGAGCTGCATCCTCCCACAGAATCAGGATCAGAAGGTCCCAGGTGAAAGAGTACCTGCCCTTGACTCCCTACCATCCCCAAAGCCCACACTGGACAGATCTACCCCCAGACAGACTCATCATCATTCTCACCTGTTGACTTCTCTCTTACCATCACCACCTCTCCCACTCACTCATTCCATTGCAGCCCCACTGCCTTCTTTGTTATTATTTGAAAACACTAACTTTACTCCTACCTCAGGACCTTTGCAGTCCCTGTTCCCTCTGCCTAACTCACTCTCCCTCCCAAAAGCATGACTGGAACATTCTTGCTCATTCAGCCCCCAAACTACCGGCTCACAGAGGCTGTCCCAACCATCCTCTCCAAAAAAGCACCTCTGAGCCAGGTACAATGACCGGGGCCTATAGCCCCAGCTACTCTGGAAGCTAAGGTGGGAGAATTGCTTGGGTCCAGGAATTGAAGACCAGCCTAGGCAACATAGTGAGACCCTGTCTCTACAAAAAATAAAAAATAAATTAGCTGGATGTGATAGCATGCATCTGTAGTCCCAGCTACTCAGAAGGCTGAGACGGGAGGATTGTTTGATCTCAGGAGTTCAATTCTAGCTTGGACAACATAGTGAGATCTCGTCTCTTAAAGAAATTTTTTTGAAAAATGTTTTAAAAGAAAGAAAAATTATTCTCTTGTTCTTTATCTCCTTCCAGGTTTTGTTTTTCTTCTCATACTCATCGACACATGGAATTACATTGTATGTGTATTTATTCACTGGTTCTTGTCTCACCAATGAATGCAGAACACCAATATTCTATCAGCTCTATTAGGGCAGAGATTTTTGTCTGTTTTGTTTATTGCAAGATTTTCACATGTACAGGGTTAGCACATAGGAGATCTTCCGCAAATATTTGTTGAATTAATTAATAAAATAATCAGAAAGGAAAAAATATCTCCAGATCCTTTTGCTACTCAGGTTACGGATTGGGTTTAGAGCAGTTTCATCAGCTCATTTATTTTTAAAGCACAGTCAAGTCCCTTCAAGATAGGCATAAGTTGGAAGGCAGACCACTCACACAAAAAGATGCTGGCAGCATGCAGGCATCTGTGGAGAGTGGCAGTGTGTGCATATACCCACCCCAAACACACAAGCACAAGCACACATGTGTCTAGTCCTGTTTCTTTTGCAGCAGTTAAAATCCAGAAATGCTTGGCAATATCAAAGAAGGAAAAAGAGGAGCACTGATGATTTTCATTGCATTTACTCAAAATATTAAAGTAGAAGCAGCCTAAGTGCGCCACAGTGAAGGGGTTGTTAAAGAAATTAACAAGAGTCCTTGGGTGACTTTTATCCTCAGTATGGGACCCTGGACCATAATGCTACCTTTTGGTTCTCACTGGTCTCAAGAGCACTCTGCAAGGCCTGGGTGCCATGGGAACCTCTCCAATAGGCAGTTATTATCAAAGACACCAGTTGTCTTGGCCAAGTGGTAGTACTGCCATCCCCAAGCATGCAAGTCCTTTATCTTGCTCACAGGTCTTCAGAAATACCACTGGCCTCTGAAGGTGTAAGTCTGAAATCTCTGCATTTACCTTGTAAATTGAAAATGATAGCTCGAGTCACATGGGTAGTCCATTCTTTATACCTGGTGGCTATCTTGGGAATCAGCAAGGTAGGGATGAGGCAGATGGGTCACTAGTTCAGCTGCCAGGATAGAGCCAGGTGTACCCTCTGTCTGGAGAAATTTATCAGTTCTTTTTTTTTTTGAGTTGGAATCTCACTCTGTTGCCCAGGATAGAGTGCAGTGGCATGCTCAAGGCTACCCCAGCGTTGACCTGCTGGACTCTGGTGATCCTTCCACCTAAGCCTTCTAAGTAGTTGGAAGTAC